GAGAGAGAGAGAGAGAGAGAGAGAGAGAGAGAGAGAGAGAGAGAATATGAATGTGAGTGTGAGGCACACTCATTACAGAATGAGAACAATTTTAAAATGTAAACAAAGTGTTTGGAGTAGATAGACTGCATAATTTTAAACCATAAAGTGATGGGAAAATATCACCTTTTCCCTGACAATTTTCCACACTACACAATTCCAATATGATAGTGTTCTTTTCTACAGTCACTTGTTTCTCTTGTTTTCACTGGTACTTCATTGCCCTTTCACTGTTGCTAGATTTTTCTTTTAAATTTATTTTGAGACAGGCTCTTGAAATTTTAAATTCCACATGCTGGCCTTGAACTTGAGATCCTATTGTCTCAACCTCCCAACTAACTGGGATTACAGAAGTGTGAACTGTGTCTCACTAAAAACAACTTATAATACTATATTTTGCTGCCTCTTTATATCATAAACCCTTTTCCCTTCTATTATTCACTTTTATTACTTCTTTGGCTATTATTTATTTTCTTTGACATTTCTCAGTTTTGATATGAGAAGAATTTGACTTTTCTCTCTTCTGGAAGACGAACCTATCAATAACAAAGAGTTGTGTGTAGTCATGTCACAGATACATTTTATGTACCTATTCCAGGCCAGGCCCCATTCCAGGCATAAAGAAACAAACAAAACAAAGCCCCGCCCTCATACAGTTTGCATTCTAGTGAAGGGGGCAGACAATGAGAAAAGCAAGTCATGTGGGATTGGGTGTTAAACAACAAAACAAACGAACAAAGGTAGGGGCAATTGAGAGTGACATGATGGGCGGGGGACCTGTTATTTATCTAAAGTGATCTGAGAAGGCATGTCTTAAAAAAAAAGAAGGGATATTTGAAAAGAGAATTTAAGGACATTTGTAGCATAAGTATATTAAATAGAAAAGAACAAGTACAAATGAGCTGACAGAGCATGCCTGGCCTGTTAAAGAAACAGGAAAGAGATCAGTGGGGGGAAAGAAAATAAGTTTTTTTTTTGCTGAATGTTTATTGTTTTTGCCATGGTTTACTCCTCAAACTTAGATTTGAACAGATACAGATTCCAACTTATCTGAAAGAGTGAGAGTGTTTTAAGTTTAGTAGACAAGTAGAACAATTCTAAATAAAGTAATAATATGCAGTATAGCATTTTGGCTGAAAATAGGTTTGTAATCAGTCTAAAATTACATATATACTACCTGGTTTTGAGCCAGGGAAGGTGGTGAAGAGGGAATACTTAAGAACAAGGTCCAGTTTTTAGTCCTGGCTCCAACACCTACTTTCTATAAGTGATTTTTTTTTAATATTTATTTTTTAGTTGTAGATGGACACAGTCTCTTTATTTCATTTTAATGTGGTGCTGAGGTTTGAACCTAGTGCTAGGTAAATACTCTACCAATGAGCCACAACCCAGCCCCTGCATATATCCTTTTATTCTAATTTTATAATAAAAAAAAAAGCATAGTGGCTTTTAGGGAAAAAATGCTGGTATTGGAAATCCTGAGTTAAACAACTTTTCTGCTATTTATTAAATGTGTGTCCTTATACAAGTCACTTAAAAGACCGTTTCCTTATTTGTAAAAAGAAAATAAAAATATCTACTTCATAACATTAAAGGACAACCTATGCATGTGAAAACAATTTGCATACTACAAAATATTAAATTAGGATATTTTTAAAGTATGCTTAGTTTACTTTATTGAATTTCATGTGTTTTCAAAATTTAATTTTATCTTTTGGTTTACCTATTTATTTGCACTTAAGAGTTATATGCAGAATTTATCTTTTAAGTCAGTTCTCCATTTTAAGCTATGCAAATTTTAAAATTAACTATATTTTCAATTATGCCACAAAATTTTATATATATATATATACATATATACATATACACACATACATATATACACATATACATATATTTCTCTCTAAACCTGAAGACCTCAAAAAGAATGAGAATGAGGATTTTCATTTTAACTTATTAAATGACCTATTTGCAATAAAAAATTTGGACATTTAGTGAAAATGATTTGAAAGGATAATTAGCAATTATTACATATACATGTAAGTATATTTACATATACAGATATACAATTGTTAAATAACTTTTAGTTCAGTTTATTTTTTTATCTATTTTTGTTTCCTGAGTCTCTACTGCTTACTTAAATCACTGAATGTGAAACACTCAGCTGTATATTTACTATGAAATTATTGGTATTCGTCACTGTAGGTTTTGATGACTGCACTAGAGAAAGACTGCTTTATATTTCTGTATCATATTGCTAGTCATTAGTGTCCTTATACTGCTGAACAGTAATTTAAAATGCAATTCAAAAGAAGTATCAAGTCTTTAAAACATCTTCAATTGTCTTCAAAAGGAATTTACAAGAGATTTAACAGAATGGAACTTACTCCATGCCCTGTGCAGTTTGCCGTGCAATATCTATAAGTTTGATCATTTCAAATTTGGTCTCAATGATGTGGAGATGGTGATATAAGCTGGAGCCCTCACACCACTGGGTAACAATAGCTAGTTGTGGCTTTGTGGAATAGCCCATGAAGAGTAGGATATTCACATGTCGTGTTTTCCTGTAAAAGTAAAGTGATGGTAAATAGTAAATGCCAATAAACTTTAGCAATTCTTAAAAGGGAGTCAAAGTAATCAAGCAGTAAGATGAACAGAAAATGGTATTTAAAAAAAAGCATTATAAGTATACATTTAGATGAATTATCTAATTAATTATCTATTCATCCATCCTATTCAGAAATGTCTTTTTTAAAAAAATATATCTGACAAGTAAGCAGAGGTTGCTTAATACCTTGAATTTATGGGAAGCTCACTAATTGAATAGAGCTACCCTACCCACTTTTCTGCTTAAATGGTTCTAGTATTAGAAAGTTTTCTTGTGAGACAAAATCATTTTCCTCCAACCTCCACAACTTTCTTCCCTTTTCTGCTCTTTGGAATATAAGGTAGCAACTCAGTATCCTTTTAAATCTAAGTCTTCTCTGGATTAAATATCCTCAGTTTTGTTGACTCACTGTCTTTCCAAATTACAGTTCTAGAATCTTCCCCATTTAAGTTGTCTTACTTTGAACTTACTCTCATTTGTAAATGTTCCATAAGTTCTAGGCACAGGAATAAATGCAATCTCTAAAAGAAATTCTGAAACACTTAGAATTTTGAGAGCATTATTTCCATAAGTGAAACTACTATTTCACATGGTCACATACTATATTTTCATTACTTCAGTCTAGAATTAAGTTTTCTATCAGCTATACCAAATAATATAAATACCACTTAAAAGAATAAGCTGAAAGAAAATTAGACATCCTATGGCTCTATATACTTATTCATTTTGAGTAAATTGTAAAGCTAATAGTGGCTACCACCAGAAAACAGGAGCTAATAATAATAACTTCTTTCCTCCTAGAAACAGTAATTTGCATACACTCACCTGAGTACTCCTACTTCATTTTTGAAGGCCTGTAACTGTTGAGGTGTGGGTGCTGTCACATTCAACATTTTCACTGCCACATCACCTAAAAGGTAATCATCATTTCAAATGTCATTCCAGTTTTAAAAATTTAAAACTATAAAACATTCTTGGGGATTTCCACTAATTATAATAACTGTAAATCCATAACACTGTTAAACTACAAATAAATTATGCCTCACTGTCTAAACTGCATTAATTTTTGAAGGATAAAAACGAAATTAACAGCAATACTCCTATACTAGTATTTCAAAAGACCAACCCCCCAAATAGACAACCTTGTTTTCCCTGGAAATTTAGTTTAAGTAAGTACCCAGAGTATTTTTCCAATTATTTAACAATACTCAATGAGATATATTTACTAAATGAACACTGAAACTAGAGATAAGAGTCCCAGTGGAGCTTGGCTTAAAGTTGAAAACTTCAAATTTCTTTATCAGAGCAGTTAACATTATGTACAAAGTTATGGATTATTTATGATGCTTTTCATTAGAAAAATGATTAAAATTATAGCTAATTAAAAAAAGTTTATGTAAGATAGCCATAACTCTTACACACTACCACTAAAAGTGAAAATTGGTACAACCATTTTGTAATATTGCTGGTAGTATCTATAAAACTGGACATATGCACATCATATGGTCCTACAATTTTCTCCAAGGTATGTATACACAGCAAAAATAGATTTATATGTTCTCTGAAAGATATAAAAAAAATTCATAGCAACATCATTGGAATAGCACCAAACTGGAAACCATCCAAATGCTCATTACACAGTAGATGGAAGAAGAAATCAGCTTACACATTGAAAGAGAATGAATGACTTCCAACAACAATACAAATGAATCTTGCATACAACATAAGGGGCCAGACACTGAAGGGTACATGCTGTATGATTCCTGTTGCAGTCAGGTTGGTAGCTAACCTTGGGGGAGGAGTGACTGGAAAGGGGCATCAGGGGAGCTTCTAGTATGACAATAATGTTCTGTTTGTTGATCATGGCTATCTATTCACTTTTTGAGATTTCAGCTACTTGTATACTTACATGTACTTTTTTATATGTATATTAAGCTTTTATATATATATTATTGATTTCTCTTAATTATCAATATAATACAACATTCATTTTATCAGTGGTACCATATAACTTACCTACCATTTAAAACCAATGTTTAAAAACATTTTGAAAGCACCCAGAAAAAAATTACCATCATGCCACTCACTGACATTTTATATATGAATGATAAGGCTTATATATGAATGCAGTGTGAATATTTATGAATATATAAAAAATGAGAAATATAGTAAAATTCTGATAGAAATTTTTTATATTATATATATAACATATATGGGGTATTACACATGCTGCTTTTATACAATTTAATACACCAAAGACACCTTCCATATCAATAAATGTAATTCTAGCATATCATTTGAAAAAATCCTATACAATCATGTATGGATCCAATTTATTTATCTATTTATCTAATCGTTTTTTTATTTTCATTTTGCATTCTTACTAAATCTTTGATGAATATACTTTTATACATTTATACATTCATTCCGGTCCCATTACTTCCTAAGGATGTCATCAATATACATATTGCCAAATTATATATAATAATAATGTTTATAATAATACAAATAATGGCTCAATACACATACTGCCAAATTGTCTTATAGAAAATTTGCAACAATTTATTTTCCCACCAGCAGCGCTACAATCATATCTCTAAATATGGTCAATTTAAAAAAATTTGTTCATTCACTGGGCATGATGACACACACCTATAATTCCAGCAGCTCAGGAGGCTGAGGCAGCCTCAGCAGTTTAGCAAGGCCCTAAGCAACTCAAGGAGACCCTGTCTCCAAATAAAATACATATTTGAAAAAAGGGCTAGGGATGTGGTGCAGTGGTTAAAGCTCCTGGGTTCAAACACTCGTATTAAAAAAACAAAACAAAACAAAACAAAACAAAACAACAAAAAACAGAAACCAACCCAGATTTTGGGGAACAGCTAATCTGGAGAATTTTAATTTTAAAAAATTATTACTGCAGTCAGGCAAGGTGCCATATGCCTGTACTCCCAATTACTCTGAGGCAGGAGAGCTACAAGTTCAAGGCCAGTCTGGGTAACTTAATGAGACCCTCTCAAAAAAAATAAAATAAAAAAATAAAAAGGGCTGGGCATATAGCTCAGTGGGAGAACAACTGTCTAGTTTGGGCAAGGCCCTGGGTTTGATGCCTAGCAACACAAACACAAATAAATAAATAATTAGTAATATAATGAAAGGAGTCCTGATTGCTGTGAACCTAGGTTTTATTTCCCATAATTCTTGTTATAGTTTGGGAGAACTTCTGCATCTGATGAAAATGATGTAAATAGTGAGTATTCTTCGATTTTTAAAAATAAAAATGGTTACACATATACTATTACTGTGAGACTTGTGACTATGTCAACAATGTTAACATACATACCATGCCACTTTCCCTTGTAGACTGTTCCAAATGATCCAGATCCAATTCTTTGTCCCACTGTGATCTGTCCATCAGGAATCTCCCAATCATCACTTGAATCCCGTCTACCAAGTGTTTTCTTGATAAAAATAGTGCAAAAGTCAAGTTAGGCCAACCAAACAAAAAGGGGAAACCTTATGTTCCATGTGAAGTATATTAACCTAAGCCTGAGAGGAGCAAGATGAGGAAGATAATATCGCTTCTTTCACCAAAAGCTGAAGAAATAATAGTTAAAAGTATGACTAGGAGCTGGGGTTGTGGCTCCGTGGTAGAGCACTTGCCTACCATGTGTGAGGCACTGGTTTGATCCTCAGCACCACATAAAAATAAATAAAATAACTATCTACCAACAACTAAAAAAAAATTTTTTTTAAAATATGACTAAAAATACAAAACAAAATTAAGACAAGTCAGACTTTAATAGAAACAATTTATTTAAAAATGAAAATTATTTATTGAGCATGTGTGAGAAATGCCTATTATTAAAATATATATTTTTTTAATATTTATTTTTTTTTTAGTTTTCGGCGGACACAACATCTTTGTTTGTATGTGGTGCTGAGGATCGAACCTGGGCTGCGAGCACGCTACTGCTTGAGCCACATCCCCAGCCCTATTATTAAAATTAATAAGAAAAACCAGCTTTGTATTATTTGGAGGACTATAAGGGCAAGATAAATATTATGTATTTGTGATAAGTTTTGCCTCCAAATACCTAAAAATTTAACCTAATATGTTGTAGTAACAGGAGACAATTTTTCTAGTTACTTTTTTCTAGTCAGAATTAAATTTTCTCATAGATCTGAACTGGTCTCTCTCTAAAAAAAAAAAAAAAAATCTATCTATCTATCTATCTGTCTATCTATCTATATCTCCAATTACTTTGGTAGGGTTAAAGGATCATCTTCCCAACAAGTAGCAGAAAGTTAATTTTGCAAATAGGGAAAAATGTCACTTGGTAAATTTTTGAATTGTAGTTCAGCCTTTAGAATATGTATGCTTAATCATGCTTTCTAAAACTTTATTTACTCTTTTTTCCTTATTAAAACTTGCTATCTTTGTCTCAGCTTCCTGAGTAGCTGGGATTACAGGTGTGTACCACTATGCCTGGCTCTTTTTTCTTATTAGAAACAGAATGCTACTGTTACTCTTCCAAAACTGCCTTTTACCTTAGAGATGAAAATGAAAATTGGTGTTGTGGGAATATGCTTAAGCAAAAATCAACTGTTAAATTTGATAGGGGAATTTTTTATCATATACAGATATAACATATCTAAAAGTGACATTTATGTGGCTCTGATTTCAAAAAAGAAAGGACTCCAGTGAAAAAAAGATAAATATTCTTACCATCCTATTCCTGTCTTCTGAGGAGGAAGATGACTTCCTTTCCCGCTGAGGTCCTGGAGATTTCTGTAAGGCTTTCACATTAGTGAGTGAGCCTGGTAATGAGGCAGGTGGGGTTGCAGACAAACCTGTGGTTGATCCTAAATTAGGGAAAATGTATCCATTAAGGAGGAGCAAGGGAGCGAGTTCCTTTATCAGGGGGTGCACAAAGTGCAAGGGGGGACTTAGATTTGGACTTAAACTTGCTATTAAAATGTAGTATATGTTCAAATACTGACCTTTTGAAAAAACAAGTCAAAAGAGGTCTATTGGTGATTAGTACTAATTTTTTTTTAGTTTTCTGGCCAACTTAATTACAGTTTTAAAACATCTAATGATAGATATATTATTGGTTTAACTTTTCCTAGTCCAAAGTCTAATTTAAAAAAATTTGTCTTTGAAGAAAAATTTAAAAAGTAAAGTCAATTAAAAAGCCTATATAACACATTTTTAAATAGAAACTTTTAATTGTATTACCTCAATAGCCAATCAATATTAAAAAATATGGAAACCCCCAAATGGAAATATTTTCTAATGTTACCTTAATATTGAAAATATAGGGCTTGTTCATATTAGCCACTAATATTTAAATATAACCCCAAACTATAAGCTTTACTACTTAAGAAATATTCACCAGTGTCAGTAGTTCCTGGAGGTTTTTTTTTTTTTTTTTTTTTTGGACTAATATAGATTATTTGTTACCTTTATAACAAAATGACTGTAAGCAAAGCCAAGTAGGTTTCCTTAAAATTTTCTGAAAATCTCTGCATTTATAAGTGCGTATAAAGTAAATGTTATGGTCTTTTAGGCAAGTTACTACAAATGCCAATATTTTGTAGGCCAAGTAAGCCCAAGGAGTACTCTTTGGAAGTGGACTCAGTTGGTAAGATTAGAACCTTTCTGATGGGCACATTTCCAAATACTGACTCAGTGGTTAACATCCTAAGTCTATATATAGTGCATCTGGTTCAGAGGGGCTCAGGACAGTGAGTCAGGCTTGAATACAGCTGAATAGGACTAAGATTTCTAGGCAATATTTCCATATATATATATATATATATATATATATATATAAAATCTTCAGGAATATATACATATATATATATATTTTTTTTAAAGATTACAACTCATATGGTAGAGATGAGACCACAGTCTTTCAAAGAACAAGGATGTCAAAAAAAAACCCCAAAAAACATTTCAATGTTAAATATGGGCTGGGTACAGGGGTGCACCCTGGTAATACCAGGGACTCAGGAGGCCAAGGCAGAAAGATTGCAAGTTTGAGGCCAGCCTTGGTAACTTAGTGAAACCCTGTCTCAAAATAAAAACGAAAAAGGACTAGGGATATAGCTCAATGGTAAAGCACCCTAGGATTCAATTTCCAGTACCAAAAAAGAGAAATATCTTAATCTTTCTAAGTGATTATCCCACATTGCTCCTTCCTTTCTTTAAAAAAAAAAAAATTCAATCTGGGTAGAAATTTTACCATTATTACATCATACTATAATAGCATGTGAAATTTCCATGCTCTCACAGGCAGTTTTCTAAAATAAAATGGTGTCTAACTTGTCTTTTAATTAGAGAACAATCCATTTTCTGCCTGCCATTGATATTTTCAACACTATATAGTCTTAATCGCTTACCCAGGTGACACAGTTCTGGTCTACTTAGTAACATTTTATTCCTTAGTTTAATCATATTATTCAGTACTGGATGAACTTCCATCCGATTTCATGGATTTTTCTGAGAAACAGCTGGGCTGAGAGAGCAAAACTGAAAACACCATTGCTACTTGGTGGAATGTGATGGACATTATCTAAAGTACATGTATGAAGACATGAATTGGTGTGAATATACTTTGTATACAACCAGAGATATGAAAAAATTGTGCTCTATATGTGTAATAAGAATTGAAATGCATTCTGTTGTCATATATAAATAAAAAAATTAATAAAAAAAAGTAACAGGGGGCTGGGGATGTAGCTCAGTGGTAGATCATTTGCCTACCATGTGTGAGGCACTGGGTTCGATCCTCTGCACCACATAAAAATAAATAAAATAAAGATATTGTGTCCATTTACAACTATTTTTTGAAAAAGTATCGATCAAGAGCCAGTAAATATGATTCCTTTTTTGTTTTTTTTGCAGTACTAGGGTTGAACATAGTAGGGATGCTCTACCACTGACCTAGCCAGGGCCCTTTTCATTTTTTTTATTTTGATAGGCAGGGTTTCCCTAACTTGCTGAGGCTCTCTTGCCTCAGCTCCTTAAATTGCTGGGATCACAGGTATACACCACTGCACCCAGATAATTCTTTAAAAAAAATATTTGTAGCCAGACATCTGTACCAACTTTGACTTCAAATTTTAAAAAGTCAGTTTAAGAACTAAAATATGGCAAAATAAAAGGCAGAGTAAAATTATACTGCTAACTTTTTCTTCCTATTAAGGTATAATTAGAGTATAACTACTCTGAGTTTCTGAAGTACTCTGAAATATCCAAAATATATGATAAATCTTTCTGTTTTAAAAACAATTTCCTATTTTTTCATAAAATATACACATCCCATATTGGGGCAAAGAACGAAAGAAAACAAAACCCAAAACGCATTGCTGATATTACAAAATTTAAAAAAAAGCCAAAAGCCTAACAAAAATATTTTTAATAGGGGTTTCCATTTATATTTTAATTTTCTTAAAAACCACAAAAATTGTTAACAAATAGTTAATCAAAGTTATCACCTACATTAAAATTTAAGGAATCCACATTGAAGATCCCTCCCATCTTATTTGTTCCCACCCACTGAGTTTAAGTTATCAAGACCAAGATGTAATAGTATAACAAATAACAAGATGGAAAATCTCAGCTCAGATTTTTTTTCTCTCTTAAAAATTTATGACAAGACTGCATACAGAAAACTTGTAGTAGTGAATATATGTGAGAAGCACATTCAGAGCATTCCAGCCAGGCCAAGCAGAAATTCAGTACTGAAAACTCTCACACTTACAAACACACGCTGTGAGGGTGAGGCACAAACAGCATCTGTAGTTTATATTTAGTTTGCTTTGGGTGAAAACAAGAAAGAAGAGCCCAACTACCTCTGAACACTGGGCCAGGCTCAAAATCAAACACTATTTCACTGGGGACAGAATGTAGGAGGGGACTGGGAGTCCGGGATTGGTATTTCCGAAGACAGCGCATCAGCTGGTTCAAGGGGGCTGTTAGAAGAGAAAGAGAGGGGCAGGCAAACACAGGAAGACAGACACACAGAAGAAATGAAAGAAGTCATGGGGAATAAATAAGATGAATTGAAGCCCGCTTCACAAAATAATTCTGGACTTTTTTCTTTAACCTGCTTATTTTTATAAAATCCCAATCATTTTTTAAAAAGTGACTCATAAAAAGGACAAGAAATGCCACTTGATTTTAGATTCTAAGCAGGCAGTGTTTATGACAAAGTTAACTCTGTGATGCTAACATGATGGCAACATTTAAATGCTTGATGTATTGGGCAAAATTATCAAAAGCCACAGCTATTAAGACATATGAAAGTCAAACTGGCAGCAACATTAAATTGGCAGGTTCATGGAATAACAAACAGAAGAAAAACCCTTTGTATAACTATGTGCTCTAGTCAATACCAAGTCCAGAGTACATAATGCAGGCTTATTATTTTGGTAGCTTCATAGGTGTACAGAAATATAACAAAAGATGGTATATACAATGTTTACTTAGAAAATATCTCTGAGTCTGGGCTTAGATATTTTGAAGATACAGAAGGTCACAATGAAGAGACCAGCTCTGTCGGTGATACTGCAGGTCTTCCTTATTAGAGAAGTACAGAGGACCTCCTGCAAGAAAACTTCAAGGCAGTCTTAAATACCATCTCTGAGAAAACATTAAATGGGATAAATTCTTACAAAAAGTTTTTTCTTAAGCGATGTTTCTTAAGTTAAAAATTCTGAAAGATACAGCAATTTCTTGTTTGCTTGCTTTATTTACTAGACTAATCCAAGGGTGAGCTTTTCCATTCTGGGCTAGCTATTCAATAAAAGGTACATTTCAAACACTTCCAGAAAGTTGAAGGGAAGTGTCTGACAAACTAAGGAGCTCTGGCAGGCAATCCAAGTCATGATTTAGCAAAATCAAGTTTTAAGTATGAGTGGAGGACCCCAAAGGAAATTTATCAATTTCTGTTTAAGAGAGGTAGAAGTTAACGAAGTGGTTAAAATAATTAAGGATCTCTTCTTGATGCAATATTTAAGTTACAGATGGTACATTTAAGACTACCTTTTGTGTTTTCTCATTTCCTATTCATGTCAAGAATTAGTTAAAATTAGCAATAAATGATAAATACTACAAAAATTTGGGTTTTCGCTACTTATTTTTCTCTGTGTCTGTGTTTCATGAAAGAAGCAAGTATAAAGGAGATAAGCAGCAAAGCAATTGCATTTTTTCCTGAGCATTTTTTTTTTTAAACTGAACTCACTACTTACCTCCATCACCACGAAATCCTTGGTCTCTAATCAAGTCCTACAAATAAATAGTAAAGTATATTTATTCAAAGCATATGGTAAGAAAATAATAGCAACACTGAATTTTCACTCTACATTAATAGAAAGGTTAATTCAAAATAACACCTGTCTTACAATTACTTCACAAAACAAAGAATATGAAATTAGCTAGTGGACATGATAAAAATCTAAATTTTGAAGTACTTGTCAACCTAACCCTATAAATGAAAGGATTTTTAGTCCTGATCAAATGCTGAAATCCATTTCAGGCCATTCAAAACCAATGGCTTCATCAATCCTTAAAGAAAATTCTACTGGCACATATTAAGAGCCATAAAAATGTTCATACCCTTTGATCCTGTAATTCCACTTCTGGGAATTTTTCCTAAGGAAATAATTCAGAAGAAAAAATGATATGCACAAAGATGTTTAGTGCAGCATTATCCATCATACTAAAAAGTCAGAAATAATTATTTCCCAATGATAGGCATTTTGACAAATTATGGTTAAGTAAGTTATGGAGTATCAATTTAATGAAGTAGTATGCAACCATGAAAACAATAATGAAGATTAAATCATGAAACATATTCACAATAAGATGAAAAATACAAAGTTAAAAGTACACTGAATACCATCATAAAATATGGATGCACAAGGACATACTACAAAAGAGGGAAAAAGATCGAAATAGCTCAAATAAGAATTTTATTAAATTTGTCATTGTTATTAAAATACAGTTACAACAGTGTTAGTAGTAGGGAAGTCACTCTGTTGTACAATTTGGACCTTGATAGGCAGAACTTGGATTAGTTTGCTTACTCAGTTTAATTTAAATTGAGGGATTGAATGGCCCCAAATGTATCTAAATAGGCCTTTGCCAACAGGCAGCTTTTTGTTTGCTAGCTAAAACAAAGAATATTATTTATAGGTATATTTCTGTCATGTTCAGTGTATCACATAAAGTCTTCAACATTTTCTACAGAATAATGAATAAATATGCATATAAAACTTCAAACAAGGTGCTAGGTATTAGGGGTGTCGCTACCAATAAATACAAAATTCTGGTAGTCTCATTAACTTTCTGTGGTTTTGAAAGTTTATACTCATTGTAAGAGAAATGTACACTATGAAAATTAAATGATATAATTACAACAACTTAAAATATTATAGAGGAGATATCAGTTTGTTGCTAAGTTACTGTCAACCAAGTGCTTTTGGCAATAAGATTTTTAGTCCTACATAAAGGATTTTATCATTGGGGAAGCATTTGAAAAAATGTCTGAGGGAGGGTTGGAAAAACAGGAGTATAGTTAAGGGCCTTCTAGACACAAGGACACATAAGAGAAAGGCCATATCCCTTTCTTTTCGCTGCATCTACCCCAAAACTTACAACAACTATGAACTGACCAAATTTGGCTTTCTCCACTCTTACAACCTACAGCTAGTACCAACATAAACTTGCATTTTTCAGTCTCAAATGTGTTCTTAAAACTCCTCGACAATCTTTTTACTTGTTCCAGGTTAAACAGGACGTTCTAGTTTCTAAATCTGATTATTTCAAACTTTCTCCCACTCTCTTGTAGTTTCTTCTCTTACATTTCTTTCCTTCAGCATGATAAACAAAAACCGTCAGAAGAACTTTTGGTCCTGCCTTTACATCCATAAATATTTGTATAATAACATAAGCTATAATTTCTGAATTCTTATGTACTGGGCATAAAAAGAAGTGTCTAGGTAGGCACTATTAGTTGGACAATGAAGTCATACAGTTTGTAGAGAGCTATATCCATCCATCTTTACTTCCTCATAGCTTGTGCAGGACATCATTATCTATTCCTCCTTTTCTTTTAATTCCCTCCTTTACTACTATACAGTATAATGGGTAAGCATAAGAAAGGAAGGCCAGGTTCAAATATACTTATCAGCTGTGTGTTGTGGTCTTAGTGTACTCTTTAATCTCTGTAAATTTATCATCCTCTCTCACTCTTACTTTATTCTAATTTTCTTAACAGTGAACTAAAGATAATAATAGTACTTAACCCATGAATTTATATGAGGCTAGAACAAGAAAATTTATTTATAGCACTATCACAGCATCTGGTACACAGTAAGCATTCATAAGTAGTAGCCATTTTACAGATTCTTAGGAATCTTATGTTGAATTCACTAATTTATAGTCTCCTTTCCTTCAACTCACTATCTTGACACCATTGCTACTACTTCAGTTTCAGCTTTTACTGGCTCTTGTTCAGAATACTGCAAAAGCCACATTATTGACAATCTTGCCTTTAGATGCAATACCTATTCATCTATCCTCCATGTGACCACTTTTTCGAAAGTCTAGAGCTGATATCTCATACTCCTAATTCCCTACCTGGTATACTTAATAAATTCCTACTCAATCATCTTTTACAATCTGGCTTCAATGTTATCCTTTCTCTGCTAAATATTCCTACATCCAATGAGGTAGAGTTTATTATTCTCTAAACTCTCATTAGATATTTTGTGATTATTTATTTGTATCTCTGATTCATCCACTAAAACTGTGACTTCTTTAAAGGCAAAGACCATGTCCCAATTCATCCTTAATTACTAATTGCCTAGCTCAGAGTCAAAAGTACATCTTTTTAGTGGGATAATAGGTGACTGAACATGAATGAAATTCTTACTTTATCTTGTAATCAATGGTAAATCACTGAAAAATTTTTTTCAATATTTTTCGTTGTTGATGGGCCTTTATTTTTTTATATGTGGTGCTCAGAATCAAACATAGTGCGCCACACAAGCTAGGCAAGCGCTCTTCCACTGAGCTACAACTCCATCCCCTGAAAGTTTTAGAATAAAGTAAGAGAGGATGATAAATATGTTATGAAAATTATCCTGAACATAGTATAGATAAATCAATGGAAGGAAATCCATTTAGGAGATAAATGTAGTAAGTACTTCAAGCGAGAAATATAAATTTAAATGGTGGTGGCAATAAGTGAGAACCAGTTTGAGACACACATGAAAAGGAAAAGCTGATTATGAGAAAGAGGAAAAAGCAAGATACAGAGTGACACTTTGAAAGTTCAATTATGAGAGATAAGGAGACTAGTAATCACAAGCAGAGAATAAGAGAAACAATTTAAAAGACGTTAGTTTTAAAAGTAAAGATAACAAAAGACTGAGGCAGGATTGTCAAGTTGGAGGCCAGCCTCAGTAACTTAGTGAGGCCCTAAACAACTTAGCGAGACCATTTCTCAAACAAAACAAAACAAAGGTTTGGGGATGTGACTCAGTGGTTAAACATCACTAGGTTCAATATCTTGCACCCCCCAAGCCCCCTCAAAAGTAGTAAAGATGAAGATTAAAATTTTGGATACAATCAGAACAAACCGAGATTAGAAATATAGTTTGATTTCTTATTTCACAATCTCCTTATTCCCATATTTTCCTCCCCTATTTACTAGTTAAGGAAAAATGGCACAAGAGGAAAGCCACTTACTTGAACCACCAATGGAGAAAAGGTTTTATAGTAAAATATGGGAAGAAAGTCTGATTTTTGGATGAAATTAAAAATTATGATAAAGTTTTATTTATTTATTTTTGGTACTGGGTTTTAAACCCAGCAGCACTTATAACCACTGAGCCACATCCCCAGTCCTTTTCATTTTGAGATAGGTTCTCACTAAGTTGCTTAGGGCCTCACTAAATTGCTGAGGCTGGCCCTTTACTTGGAATCCTCTTGCCTCAGCCTCTTGAGCTGCTGGGATTACAGCCATTATACCCAGCTTGTAATAAAGTTTTTGTTTTTAACATTTAATAAAATTTAACTTATAGTTTCAACTATAACTAATTCTTTTTTTAATATTTATTTTTTTAGTTGTAGTTGGACACAATACATTTATTTTTGTGTATTTATTTTTATGTGGTGCTGAGGATCGAACCCAGTCTTGCACTTGCTAGGTGAGTGCTCTACCGCTGAGCCACAACCTCAGCCCTAGACTAATTCTTAAACATACAAAGAATCAAGTTTTGTGGTTAGAATGCCAAGCTTATGGCAGTACCATTTGAAACTGTTAATTTCATATATAACTTTTACAGCATAATCATAATCAATTTTATAAGAATTTTAGAGAAGTTCATGCATTCCCAAGGATCTCTACCAATCCTTTTGATATTTACACTATTTTCATTTGAAGATAAAACTTTTACAGGGATAGTGTCATTAAGGAAAATGTCAGAGTAACTCTAGTTTGGCACCAGTGAAGTATTTAATATCATCAGAGAAGATGACAGGCTTTTCTGAACTGTGATTTATATAAAGCCCAGTATTTAAAATAAATGATAAATGAAAGATGGCACTTGTTTCTGATCTACCTTATAATTATAACAGGAAAATAAAGAAGTAGATCTGAAATTTCAGTTCTAGCAATGCTATATACTTACATCAATATTGACAGGTTCTATTGTGTTTATATGCACATTGGGAGCAGATGAGGATCGGTCTCGTTGCCCAAATTGATTTCGATGATCTTCATCTGCTGGTCGGAAGGGCTGTGGAATTGGAATGGATTTTGAAGGAGACGGACTGGTGAGAATTTGGGGCCTGGAAAAATCAAGTCATTGAAAGATAAGATAAAGAGCAACTGTACAGAGACAACAATATTAAATAATGAAAGATATAAAGATTTTCTGTTTATCAGAAAAATCTTTAAAATAAAGCACTGACATTCCAGCTGAAATAGCTTTATAAGAAACATTAAAGAGAACTAACAGACCTACAACTAGAACTGCCAAAGTTGCTATGTTCAAGCAGAACCTTCAGGAAATAAACAAGAACACTTGATTCTTACCCAGAAAACTTAAAGGAAATCTACAAACGGTTAGAAATTACCAATGATTAATCAGCTGAAGAAGAGGGTCTTCTTTTTAAAATTATAGAAAAATGTTCTAGTTAAGAGATTGAATAAAATCTATTTTTTCTAACTTTACATTTCTTGAGAGCTGAAATTACTTAAATGAAAAAATTTATGAACAATATTAGGAAGTTATAAATATTTTGGGAATGTAATCTGTACACTTCAGGACCTGAAAAATGTACCTGCTGCCAAACACCTAAGTTGTATGAGAATTCTAAACAATATCAAAAGATCATTTCCAAATTAAGAAGATGATCTTCACAGTGCTAGGACTTTTCTCATTTTGAAATTTTTATCATTCCCAATGATTGATATCAAAGACACAAGAGAATCATAAAGATTAAAGCATTTATTTTTTAAAAACTGGTTTTTAATCAAACCACCAAAATAGGTTACAGGGTGACCTACTTTGATACTGTAGATAAATAAGGAAGTATGATTTTTCACTGGCCCTAAAACAAACTTGACACAAAACCCCTAAAGTTCTGAGGATAGACCATAGCACCTGTAAGAAGCCTATGTTCCTCAGAAAAGATATCTACAGTAGGAGCAGGGAGGATCACTTGGTAGAAGATGCGGCTGTCTCACTGAACTCCACCATCAGGACCAATGAAGTGCTAATAAGCTCTTTACCTATATTTGTTATCATTCCACCCATCTTATGAAAGCTCTCTAAATGATCAGCATTATTTAGAAGTTATTAGGCCATAAAGGCAATGATGAGGGAATAAAGCATTTTGTGACAAGAGAGGGTTTGGAGAGGAATGGTAAGAAAATATAGAAGGAAAAGAAATGTATAAAGGTTTAAAAAGGAAAGAAAGTTCAGTAGTGACAAAATCCTCCAAATAAAATGTCAACAGAATCTGAACCATGCCAGTTTACATCCTTACTTCTCTTTTATATTTTATTTTTTTCATTTTGCTTTTTTTATTAGTTGCTCATGACAATACAATGATCTTGACATATCATACATTTGAATCAAATGGGGTATAAATTCTAATTTTTACATCCTTACTTCTCTGAGCACATAAAAAAGCACAATTATTAAGGACAGGAGAAAATTTTTGACTCTGCATGCTCATTTTAATTACATGAATTCATATATAACTGATATATAAATAATAAGACATTAGGTACTAAAAATTATTATCAGCCTAATTATAGGCAAGACTTATGGAACTAAATTTTGGGAAAATTAGCATGTTTCACTTGGGTCCTTTTTATGCTTTCTGGTTATTGAGAAACATTTGGTTTCTGACAGAGCCATCCCATTTCTTGCCTTAGGCTACAAATATTTGCCCTTTGCTAAGGAATTGTGAGAGAAGTAAAACAATGAAAAAATTACATTAGTTAAAACAAAACAAAACAAAACAAAACAATGAACATAACAAAAAACCTGGAAAGTGAACTGACAGCTAACTGCTACTTATAGACTGATGATTTAAAGTTTTAGGGCAAGCACATACTTTATTAAAAAAAATTTTTAAATTATACATAGACACAATATCTTTGTTTTTTGACTTTTAAGTGGTGCTGAGTTTTGAACCCAGTGCTTCACATGTGGGAGGCAAGGGCTCTGCCACTGAACCGTAACCCCAGCCCAGGCACATACTTTAAATCAGGTCTTAAAACTGGAAAAAGCCCAAATTAACTAGAACTGTATAGGTTAGTCTAATCAATGCTATAATTGATCTGGTATGGGCAGAAGTGGCAGTAAATATTTCTTGAAACTTAATTAGGACAATGACAGAAACATATTGGATGACAAATCAGAGATATGTACGCAAAGAATATGATCCAGAGGCAAGAAAAAAAATCCTGTACAAGTGGAAGAAATGATTTACAGTAGAGGGGGTAGAGAGAGAAAAGGGGAGGGGAGGGGAGGGGAGGG